TGGCGGCCCGCCCCAGGACCGGCGCTTGCCGGGAGAGTGAGCCAGCGCTGTGCTCGCTGCAAAAGCAGCCGGGACATCTCCGGGCCTGCAGCCAGCAACCTCGGGTTTTGCATCCGGCAGCAGCCTGCGTCCAAACCATCACGCCAAGGGAGGCAGCCACGCGGGTCGCTCCCCAGCCCCAGGAAAATCCCGGCATGGGCAAGACAATCCCGCCTTGCCCTTAGGCCATCCCAGGCAAGGCCACGTCCCCTGCCAGGAACCACGCGAACGGGGGCCGAGCCTGGCGTCCCCCCCGTCCCCAGGAAGGGAATGACGTGGGGCCACGTGGGGCCACCACGACCGAGGCAGACGTGGTCCTACCACCTAGACCTTCTCTGCCGGTGGGTGTCAACGCTGCCTGCGTCTGCAACGGAGGTGCTGCTCTGCGCCCGCTCATTTGAGGAGGATGAGGGCAAACGAGGAGGGGCAGAGAAGGGCCGCCGGGGCGGTGAGCACATCTGTGAGCCCCTCGTGGGTTTAGCCAAGAAAATGAGGTTCCCAGGGGACACGATTGCTCCGAAGTGACTATAAGGGTATCAGGGATAAACCCCAGGCAGGGAAGCCACCTGTGAAGTTAAACACAGGGAAAACAAATGGAAATAAACGGGTTTGCAAGTCCAAATTAGCAGAGGAAGGTTTCTAAGGCTCCGGAGAGCAAGGGTCAGCAACGCGCTTCCCAGGCAAAGTGCAGGTGCTGAGGAACCGATCTGGTTTTAAGTTGCTCCTTGATCATTTTACCAATGTGTCAAACGCTGCAACGCCTGCCATGGCAGGGCCTGGCTTTGCTGACCCCGGAGGGCCCTTTCATCCCTCTGCCCTCTCTTCTCACACCGAGTTCTCTGATTTACTCATGATCCTAATAGGATTGGAGAGGCCCGGCCAGCTGGCGAGCTCGCGGGCCTCCCCTGCACGGGCCTGGGTTCAGCCAGCGCGGCCGGGCCAGACCCGTGGACTTTCCTTTCCGCGAAACGGGCTCCTCTTCGCCCTTCGGTGGCCACCGCCCTTGACTTGCAGCAAGCAGCAGGAGCAGGTGACCGGGGTCGCCTTGGGCAGCGGGACCAGGAACCTGGACGCTTCCCCGGCAAACCTGGCCCCGGGCACGCGTCCGCCTTCCCTCGCCCGCACGCCGTCCCCGCGCGGCGCTGGGACCGCGGGTCCACGCGCCCGCCGAGGCGCCTCGGCGAGATGCTCACCTTCCCGTTAATCCCTGCCATTTTGGCAATTAGCCTTCCCTCTGTCCCCCAATTACGCCGGTTCCCGCTCTGCCGCCCGGCCGCCCACTCAGCAGCCTGGGGGGGCTGGCACGCCAGGGGAGCTGGCGCTAAGCCGCCAGTCTCCCCGCCTTTTGTCTCCTTTCTTCCCAAAGTGACCATTCGGCCTTTTATTTCCCCTTTCCAACTTCTTCACAAATATCCGCGGCCGCTTCGCCCGCTTCCCTTCCCCTGGGAGGTTTTGTTGGGCTCTTTTCTTCTCGCCCTTCTTTTCCTCCCCAGCCCCAACTGTTCGGAAACCACCCACAGGGGAC